ACATTAAAATACATCACAATTGCAATACTTTAAAACATTCTAAAATTAATTAGGCCTAACAGGTGATTAGTCAGGACAATCAAATTTGGAAAGACTAAAATGTTTTCGTTCAGATACTTAAATATTTTTATTTACATGTGTAGCGTTAACTTCTACTTTGTTAAGAATCAACGATTAATTCCATGAACTAGTTCATAGGGTTTCACTCGATTTAGTCTTCTTGTTAAGCCAACGTTGTTCAAGAGCTGGATGGCCTCAACGTTGATGTGATTTTGTAGTCTTTGTTCATGACTTTTTGCACAATTTTTTATTATATTGTCCACTGTTTGCACATTTAGATCTTTAGAAGTTATATATGTACACATTAAAATAGTGACTCTCCAATGACAAAGCCGAAGTTAATATCATAGGATAACACTTTGCAAATGTACATCTAGTAGTTTAGGTTAAAGAAAAGTAGCTTATTGGTGTAAACTAGATTGCTATAACAAACTAATAAAAAAAAAAATGTGTAGCGTTGTTGCTGCTTTAAGCCTTGGAATGCATTTGGAGTATTAATTTTGTCCATTATCGGACACAAAACGAATCAAATACTGTTTTTATTGATTTAGAATTGAAATAGAGACAATAAATGACTGAAACCCAGGAATGAATTTGATTTGGAATTAACATTAATTAATCATAAAAATAAAATAATCGCATTGCTCAAAGTAATCACGTCGATTTTTACTTGGATCAACCCAATTTTGAGTAAATGGTACATGAAAATGAGAAACAAGAAAGAACATAAATGGAAAATCGCATTGAAGAGAGCAGTAAAATTATTGTTGCTTAAATCCGGTTTGGTGGGACAGAAAATTTTTAAGAGAGCAGAAAAGCATGTAGGAAGGCAATGGTGGAATCTGTTCTCTCCTACCGAAGCGAATTGTGAACCTTGAATGCGGAAATGAAGTCAAAAATAAATACAATAGAAAGGGAAATGAGTTGTGGAGGAATTGATTGCAAAAAATTTGAAATTATGTTATAAGCAAAAGAACAGACACACAAGTTCTGGAATGAATGGCTTAAGATGGTTTAAACATATGATGAGGATGGATGAACAAAGATTATCACCAAAAGGCGAGGAAGGCCCAGTCTTCTGATGATCTTTCATGGAATAAATAAGAGCATGAGAGGCTCATTGGAAGCCCGTAGTTTTGATCATGAAGGCGCCTTAGATAGATATCAATAGAAATTGGGAACGCGAATCAAACGCATTACATCTACTCATCATATTTCGAAACACTCTTTCAAAGATTGCAGGTTTTGCTTGTATTTCTTGCACCGCGGCCATATTATGCGCTAACCGGTCTTCCTCTTTGAAGCCTCTTATGAAAGCCATGGCGTTTCCGCATATGAGTTTATTCATAAAAGTTGGTCAATTTTCAATCCCCTGTATGCCCTATAAGTGTGTAACACTTAATCATTAAAACTTGGTATACCGGGTGTCAATTTGAAAACATCCCACCCTTAATATCTTGCTTGCAGTTAAAAATATTACTAATTGGAAAGACTACTATATTTTTAGCCTCCTTGTTTCAACGCGAATTCGAATAATCGCGTTTCAAAGTTAGAGAATCAATTAAACTTGCCTGCATTGAGGTTTTGCTTTTCGGACTAGTGTTTACACAAAAATTATGTCACTGAGTCTCCTTATAGTACAAATGATTGCAATATTCGGTTACACCGTTAAAATCATTGAATACTAATCAGAGAGAAAATCTAGTTTAAACAATTAATTTCAAATTTATTAATTATTTTACAATAAAACCTATGGGATTTACTTACCCATTCATTATCTTATCAGTTGTTCAAAATGTTGTCCATTTTTATTTAAACAATAATGAAGTCTATTTTCGAACTCTCCCTAACATTGATAAGATATTCCCGGATAGATCGATTGGCAGTAGGGGACCAATTGAATGGCCTCCAATATCACCGGATTGAACACCCTTACACTTCTTCCTTTGAGGACATCTTAAGTCCATTGTTCGTCAAACAACCTGCTAATATTGATGATCTTAACAGTCGAATTGTAGTGGAATGTCGGTCAATTACCGGTGAAGTTTTCTGAAATGTTAGCGAAGAGTTCAAAAAGAGCTTTATTATTGGTTACAGGAAAATTTTTAACATTTGAACAACTTTTAAGGTTTTAAACCAAACCGTGTAAAACAATCAATAAATCAAGATCAAAATCTAAAATAATAAATCAATGTTTAAACTCGATTTACTTATTATTGTACGACTACTTACGATTACTTGTTATTCAACGATTTTACCAGTGTAATCTACATTTCCTTTATTTAGACACTATCGTGTTTTTAATAAGTTTCCTGTTATGTTCTCTTAAGTCCTTTTTTATGTTTCTGTTTATTTCCTTATTTATTTCTCTATAGCCTTCACACTCTCGATTTATATTTCTATTTTGTTCTATGAGCTTCTTGGTATGTAATCCAATTCTACTACTTTTTATTTTGTGTTTTGAACATACCTCTTTGGTTGCTACTTGTATGTTATGATTTATGTGCTCTGTTAGTTCATTAGCTCTAATTTGTTCCTGGTCTTTCTTTCTTTTCAGTTTATTGTCTGTTATAGTTTGGAATATTTCACTGTTTCTTTTCAGTGTCTCATTTGTTGGTATGGGTTGTTTTCTTGTTAGTTTATTTATTTCCCTTATAGTGTCAAGTGTTATTGCTGCTCTGATTTAAATATATCAACCTAATGCAGGATTATTCAAATGTCTGGCACGAAATTGGTATCTTTTTAATGAAAAGTTTAAAAAACACTGAACCAGGTAACTTTGTTGAATTTTTAATATAACATTCATTCCTAATTTACAACACGTTCATTCCTGCAACGCCAACAAGAGCAACACAGGCCATGTGGGGTCTTTGTTGCAAATCGCCGTACTCGGTGGTAAAATGAATCTCGAATTGCTCAATCGGTTTCGATAAATTAGGGGTTAATTATTTTTACGGAGAATTTTACGGCATTTTTATTAAAATGACTTACTTAAAATCAATAAGTACTATCTACCTAATTTGACTCCGTGTGGTAAATGCTGAAAATGACCTCCACTTTCTATCTGACATACACCAGCTTAGGACAAATAATATATATTTTACCACGGATTTTTTAAGCCGGAATATTACTTAATTCCTTCATTTTGCTATGTTTAAGGTACTCAATGTTTTCGAGGCTCTCTTCCGACTATATACATCATGCAACAAGTCCATGGAAATGGATCCAGGATACATATCTTTAAACATTTAAACCAGGATTTAAATCGAATATGAATGCTTTAAACTTTTTTGCAATAAACGTAAATTTTAATGGGCAATTACTGCTTCATTTTTATTCAGAAAAATGCCTGCTAACTCAAGTATTAATTTGAATGATCAGAAATTAAATATTACTGGGCAGTAAGATTTGCATGAAGAGTTTTTGTTCTTTGTCAGATAATTATAACATGAAAGGGAATTTTCTTGGCGTAGCGGACAAATAATTTTTGGAATAAGAAAAATTTACTGCTTAGCACTTTTCATGAAAAATTCACAAAAATTTGTAGAAGAGGACTTTTTTGATATCAAAAATATCAACGGTTAAGCATTCCAATAGGATACCAATTAAAGATGAGACCATTTAAAAATAATACTTAATTTTTTTCTTCTATATTCTTCTCGGACACTCTAAGTGAGCCCATATTATCCCTTAAAAGGAATGACGCCAATTTTGAAGCACCCTGTATATTAATAGTTTCTCAACATCCAGTTCAACTCGGTGTGTGACAAAAATTTTCGCAGTTCATTCAGAAACACTGCGAACCTGCGAACGAATCCAATTTTTTTTCGGATAGTTCGCACATCGCAACGGTTTGCCCGGATAATTTTCGATCTAGGGAACCATAGATGCATATTCAAATAATACTGTACTGGACGAGTTTCAGTACTTTGCAAAGAACCTGGATCATTCGCTCTTTTTCGCACGACTTCTGACGAAAACGCATCCAAAGGACACCGGCCCACAGGCTGACCTATTAAATACACACGAACGCACCACAGACTACACTATTATATTAACACGACCGGCCCAATGGAACATAGGAAGTTATCACTTCAAAATCGAAAATTTTATTTACATTTTGACCCCTTATTATTAAGGGGTCAACCGTTATACCCCGGAAAATATTAACTTTCAGATTTTACACTGCAGATAATGAGGTATGGCAAAGCAAATGGGTAATTGGAATTTAATAATAATTTTCGTATCCGCATATACTTCATCAGAACATACGGATATGAAAAGTTTGGCAATGAAAATAGCCCATAGATAGTTATCTGTTTACACTAAATTATATTTGATTTACTTTCAGTCTAGATAACTTAATTCTGTAATGGTATCAAATTAAGTAGTTGTCACTAACTTGTGTTACTGCGAAACTGTAATAGTTTTCGTTTACTTTTGGTTCTTTGAAAAGATAGATATATTATCCAGTACCAAGTGATTTAATAATAACGTTTCCAAAGCAATTTAGTAGTAGCAAATTAGTAGTAGTAGTTAAAAAACTAAAAAGGCCCAATTAAAAGATATTTCCTGAAATGTCTAAAGAAGTGTTGAAGTTTGATGAAATATAATTGTTTAAAAAGTCACGATTTAAGTTAAGCAAGTTATTAAAGGTTTAGTATTTATAAGTAAATGGGCTACTTAGATAAAGATGAATGGGACATACTTTATGTAAATAAATACTACAAAATAAGTCATTTAAGGAAACCTCCTAACGAGATCTTAGTGAAATTGGAGGGAAAATCTAAAGGATTCGCATGAAAACTACCAAATATGTCTTTTTCGTTCGTTTAATTTTTCACGACTTTGCCCTCAATAAATTAATGTGCATCTATTTACATGATTGTTTCAAGTCAAACTTCCTAGTGGTAGTAAGAAGGAGCAGCGTAAGCGTAAGCTGGGGCAGCAGCGTATTTAGCGACGACTGGAGCGGGGGCAGCGTAAGCGTAGGCTGGGGCGGAAGCGTATTTAGCCACCACTTGAGCTGGGGCAGCATAAGAAATAGACGCTGGGGCCGACACGTATTTGGTTACAACTGGGGATGGTGCAGCGTAGGTGTAGGCTGGGGCAGCTGCGTATTTGGCTACAACTGGAGCGGGGGCAGAGTAGGTAACAGCAGCTGGGGAAGCATAGCTGTAAGATGGAGCGGCGTAGTTGGATACCAATGGACTGGAGGCGTAGGCAACTGGGGCAGAAGCGTAGCTGATTGGAGCAGCTACTTTAGTGACTACTGGGGCTGGGGCAGCATAGGCGACTGGGGCAGCAACCTGCAATTAAAATCAATATAAAATAAAAAGGTTCTGTGAACGAGACCAAGTAGACTAACTGATTAGTTAAAAGAAAAGGGACAAAAAATTCGCAAGAAGTCATGCGATGCAAAGTTGATAGAAAAAAACGCAAATTACAGTAAAGCGAAATATTACGAAAAAAATGAAATGCGAAGTACAAATGCCCTAAAATATATAATATCAGGACGAATGAATGGGAATGATGGTTTACAGCATTATTACTAGAAGAATTATAGGGAGAATCGTAGTGAAAGTACAGAAATTCTTCAACAGGATTGCCAATAACTCATAGTAACCAACTGTGGAAAAATAATAAAGCTTCAGGACCTGGTGTTATATACGCTCAAATAATCAACATGGTACTAACAAACAGAATATGTCTCAATAAACAAGAATTATCAGAGAAATCAGCATATTTAAAAAATAAGACGGAGGCGTCTTTAACGGCAGTAAACTGATATCTGCATTTTTCGTTATTGGCAGAATGAATCAAAGGAAAATAATCACCCTGCTTCCGGACAAGGAGCTCAACAGCCAATGGCCATAAATATTCGCTAACACAAGTGACAGAGAGAAAAAACACTGGATGAAGAACTGTATCTGATATTTGTTGATCTCCGGAAAGGAGACAGCTATGAGTGACAATATAAAACTTTTATATAAATATTTAAATACTTTGGAAGAAGCAGAAGATTTAAGCAGGAAGGACTGTTATATTTCTCTGACATTATTTAAAATATATTTCGATTGTGCTCTTGCTGAATGGAGGAAGAAATACGCGAAGACAGTTAGAATATATTATGCACGCTGTGTTTTGCGGATGTTCAAGTGCTGATCGTACAAGTTTAAAAGAGCAAATGACACTAACAAAGACAAATAATGAAGTTAGTTAGCTTTCGGATACGTTCAAAGAATATCCAGTCAAACACTCAAACGGAGATATTGAAGTGAAAAACTATATAGAAATAAAGCGAGGAGAAAAAGGAGCAAAAAAACTGGTATAGGGCCAAGAAGGAAAGCATGAAAGAACTAGAGTTCTATATCAATAGACAAGAATGTAGATGGGGTACCGGAATACGCAAAACGTCGCAAACCGAAATGTGAAATAAAATTTCCAATTTAATAATAAATTATATACCTTGGCAACAACTGGAACTCCTTCTTTGCGGACGACGGCGTTGAAACCATTGTGGGGATCAGCGGTGTAGTCGACGGTCCTCTTTGTTCCATCAGAGTCCACCAAAGAGTAGCTGCCTTCTACTACGTCACCACGACGAGATTCGTGTTGAGATTTATGGTCACCAGTGTGGGGGTCGCTGACGGTGTATCCGTAATCGTAATGAGCTGGTGCTGAGGGCTCAGCAACAACAGCTTTAGCTACGGGGGCAGCATAAGCTACGGGGGCAGCATAAGCTACGGGGGCAGATGCATAAGCTACAACAGGCTGGGCGATGTGTCCAGCTTGTGCAACAGCAACGAAAGCGGCGAGAACTACGAACTGGAATACAAATTTCGAAATGAGAATCAAATTGAATACAAGTAATAAACAAAGCTAGAAGTATTTCAAATTTCATCAAAAAATAGACTAGATGCATAGATCATTTTTGTTTATTTGACGAAAACAGAAAACTTTTTTGCAGCAAATATTTGGTACTCGCCATCGCACCACCTACATACCTTAAAAGCCATGTTTAAGTGTGCTAATGTAAGATTAACTGAATGATTTCGGTATCGTTCTGGTATATATACCCACTTTAAAATGCGACAAAGGGTGTGGTCATGGTCCATACTAAACGTTTTTGGAACCTTTCACTAAGACGGTAGTTTGGGCAGACAAATTGATGGTCAATGTGTGGGCAAGGTCACACTCGATATAAATTCGTAAAAATGTTAATCCTTATGTAATTTATTTAAGTAGAGCAAGTCGTTTTCTTTACAATTTCAGACACGCGAGAATCTTGCAAATAAATCAACCAATGTAACCCATGCTTAATTGAAATTGTGTAACTCATTGCAAGTAGGTTTTTACCGTTGGTAGATGAGTGATCTAAATTAATGTCTCATCATGTATCAATAAATATGTAAATTTGATGGATTTGTTATGTTGATTACAACAATAGCGGCTACTGGTCCAAATTGATGGAAAATAAAAAAATATTGCGGTGATTTTAATCGATCATAAAAGAAGTAAAAAATAATAAAATGTATATTATTGTACTGTCTGGAAGTTACTCTTTTGTACTAAAAAAACATAATGTGAGACTATGTCGAATGCAAGTCAAATAGTTTAAATTTCGATAAGTTTGAGAAAAATAGCTTCTAAAAAGAAGTTATATTTACGGAAGTAAATACTCTTGCGATTTAATAATAAGAAAAACTACTAAAAACACAAGGCCTCAAATGTATAATTTTCAAGATAGAAAAACTTGTTTTTTTTTAACGTAGTAGTTGTGTTTGTAGTAATAAAGCGTTGATTTAGTCCTAACTAGGCCTAGCCAAGAGTAACCTCCTTAACCAATGTTATTGACAAAAAAATTTCTCTTACTGACTAATTAAATTTTCAAATATATTGATAGAAGAAAAAGTATGCTTTGCTTAATGAATAACAAAAATATATTTTTATACCCGCTGAATAAATATTTTCTTATTATATAAAGACTAATATTTAACTTGTTCTGTTTAATGTTCAAATTACGAAAAATTATCTACCATTATCTATCAATTTTTTTTAAACTATCGTCGAAATTTTTAACCTTTATCCATGTAAAATTATCAGCGCTTTTTTAAGAACAATGTATATATTACTATTTCCGATTGGAAATGCAAAGGAAGAATTTTAAAATAAATAAATATTCTACGTGTAGTAACGAGTTTTATGTTACTTTATGTCTTTTAGACTTAATTCGATTAAATTCACAAAAGCATCACGAGAAAAAATGAGAAAATAGTTAAAATACTCATTTAATCCCAATGATTAAAGTATCCTTTCGAATGGATTCCACTAGTTTTAGTCATTATTATTGACACATTTTTCTTGAATCCGTTGCGTTTTTATATTTAACTGAATAAGTACGTTTAACTTCAAAAAATTGTTTAAATTTTAAAATGGCAAAAGTGCGGCAGTAGCTTCAAAGATTTACTCAAAATATCCCCTTTAAAACTCCCCTAACATCTAAGGTATTTGTTGAGAAAAATTCAACAAATCCAAAGAATATGTTTAAGTTTGAACAAATTTGGGCTCTACGCCCCTTTTGTGAAAGCGTTTTTACACGAAAAATTCAGAAATACGCATGTTTGCTGTGTTTCTATGTAATTCGCAAAACCCATTTTTCATAATTGTGAACGATTTACGGGTTGAGCTGTACATGGTTGGCCAAATTGGACACTTTTAAAAGGAAACTCCCATTTCTATACCAGATAGACACAAATGGATGTCAGTGTCTGAGTCTCGATTTTTATGACAAAATTAATGACGAAAACCGTATGTCAAAAGGAAGGAAAAGTGTTGGAGACCTTTATCAAAAATGCAGATTTCTAGAAAAGACGCTGTATCTCGAAAACTGTTAGAAATATTGAAATCTAGTATATAAACGGTAGTTTCCATTTAAAAGTGTCCGTATTAGCCAACCCTGTACATTCTACCAGAATGTTGGCGAAATATATTCAGATTTTTTTGTTCGACAATTTTCCTGTTCTTTGCAAGATGTGAAGAACATAAGATAAAACCTGTGGCTTCGCAACGGTGGAGCCTAAAACGTTAAGTTTTAACCCGCAATGATCAGCATTAATTCTTCGCATAGAACGTGCTGCAGCAACATTTAGAGGAAATCCGCTTTCTGTATTACTGGTCGTTTAGAGTAGGGGAGAGTGGGCTACCATAAGAATGAAAAAGTAAAAGTGGGTTTTTTTTCCAAACACTTTGAATGAACGTCCAGAAAAGTTGATTAGCTGTTCGAAATGGGCCACTGTAAGGCATAAGTAAATCAGTAAAAAACGACAATTGAAACTAAAAAAAACTTTATTTCCACTACAAGATTGACAAATGTCTGCTATTAATAATTGCAACATTAAATTCATTAGCTTTAACCTCGGTTTAAACAGAATCAAAACTAAAAAATGTTACTCGATACGTAGTTGGATCGAGTTCAGGGATCCAATCAGATTCGTCGTCTGAATTCGCAAATAAAACATCTTTTTCTCCATCGTCATCGGAAGACCCTTTGTTAACATTTTAAAATTCTTTGAAACAACGTTTCTATTCGATGCTTCTTTTTTGTAAATTTCCATGTTTTTGTTTTCATCTCATTTAAATTTTCTCTTTCTTTGGAATATCCGTAGGGATGATACTTGTGGCTTTTTTTCTTTGACTATTGGGGAATTTTCGTTTAGAAGCTTTTGAGTTGCCTCCAAATACCTCTGGACTTGGCAATGACAGTTTTACTCCTCTTACTCCCACTAAAACTTCTTGGACTGCTCGATTCAGACTTTCTTCTGGGTATGTACCCTTCTGGGACTTTCCTTGCTACCCATTTTACATCCAAATATACAAAACGACGCAATTAATTATTAAAAGTGTTTCCATAAGACAGTGTCCCAAGGTGCCCCTCAAAAAGTGCCTCATGGTAGCCCATTTACACTTTACAACATTTTTTCTAATTGTTGGTAAAATCGATTTAAAATCATATAGTTTATATATTATATATAATATAATTCAAACTTATATAATTAAAACGCACTTACAATACTATATCTACAACTTAACCTTAGTTTCTTTAACTTCACGTTTTCGCAAAAAAATTGGCTCATAATAATACACGTGAAAAAAGTATTCTCTCACATGCATCTTTGTTAAAATCTCAAAATTAAAGGCATTTGAGACAGGAAGAAACTTTTACCACCGAAGCAACAGTGTTCATAATGAATAATACCCAAACAGGGTAAAATAAGTTTTCTCTTATTGTAAGAGAAAACATTGCAAAGTCTCATGGTGGCCAGTCGCGAGGTGGCCCACTCCCCCCTAGTTATGTAGAGCAGAAAGTTTTAGTGGGTGGCAACTTTGACACATTATTTATGTTAAGCAAAAGAAAGTCATTATTTTGGGAAAAATTTAATTATATTTCTTATTTTTTGAGTTGTCCCTAAAACGTTATTAAATATTTTCTTAGTTTCAATAACTTGCATACACGTTAAGCGGATACGTTTAAGTTACTTGATCACCCCAGTCAAACAACAAAAAAAGGACAAAGAAAATCAGTTTACCTTCAACGGATAGGTATGCATCTACTTATCACATTCTTATTATTTCGAGGAATATTCTACGTTCGGACGCAATAAATTTGCACATGCAAAAAATTTTTTAAATTATTCGACAAATATTAACTTTTTCAAAACAGGCTTTATTAGTTAAAACCTGTGTAGCTTCAGGAGAATTTTCAAAGTTAAATTATCGGAGTTCATACATCATTATTGCATAAAAATGTATAGGGTGATTCAAAATTGGCATCATTCTTTTTAAGGGGTGATAGGGGCTCACTTAGAGAGTACGAGAGAAATATTGGAAAAATTGTTTTCTTCTAGAGGATAATAACCGTTGAAAATCGAATTTCAACTTTGTATTAAGTATTATTTTGAAATGACATGATGTTTGTTTGGTAACCTATTAGAATACTTAAGCATTCGAAAAGAAAAATTACGATCTTTACTTCAAATTTTGAAAAAATATTCTCTCCTGCAATTTTTTGATGAAAAGTCAAAGCGGCAATGATGTTTTTCAGCATTAACAGATAGTTACAGGTAGATAGTCTTTGTCAATAATTTGTCAAACTGTGACTTACTTTAAAGCTCCTTTCACAAAATGTACAAAAACATTGAATTTGCGTCACATTGACACATTAAATCCCTGGTTCACTCAACATCGGTACAAATTGGGCACGAGTTAATTAACCGAATACGAGAAACTGCTCAAAATGTGAGCCCAGACTACCACCAAGAGTGTGCAATAAAGTGATGGGGCACAAACATGTTTGGAGTTAAACAGGCTGAACTTCAAACAGTTCATGTGAATTAACAACTTAATTGTGTTTTATTTGTTGTGTTGTTGACAGCTATGCACCGAACATTCCCCCTATACTATATTCTGTGCATCTATGGATCTACGGATTCAAGTACACCACTCTTTTAAATTTAAGATTAACCTAACTTGGAAATATTTAATTCTCATTTTCCTTTTTAGTGTGTTTGTGTTTTCCAATGGTTACTACAGTTTGGACTAATTAAGAAGTAACAGGTATTTATGTAATGTTAAAGAGGCATATTTAATTGAAAACCATTGATCTAGTTTTTGGCAAATATCGCAATTATCAATAACAATTAATAATTTAAACAATTTTTCTTGGACTCCCAAAGCACCCCCAGACAAAACCCCCAAGGAAATAATGTAAATTTTGAATCACCCTGTATATCAAGCGTTAGGATGTCTACAATATTTTGAACTATAACATAGACAAAAATAATATAATATGCATTTAATTCGGAAACTTGAAAACACATAGCTGATATTCCTTAGAACTGAGCAACTGATGAAGTTTTTTTGCTTGTGAGAGGCAACGAAAAAAAATAAAAATAATTCAAATTAACCAACTTTTAAGTGCAGATTTATATTCTACGTTAAAAACCAAGACCATCTTTTTTCAATCAACAAACCATTTTTTGATTTGTTGCTGATGATGCTTTAATCTACGAAACTAAATTTGACAGCTTTTTTCCAGCTAAGTGTCGATT